GTCACGTGTAACCCCTCATTGAGGAGTGATTACCGGGCATTGTGTGGGTATGATCCTGTAGTCTAATCAACCTAGGACTCCCCTTTCCCAATTCCTATGTGTTTTAAATGAACTTCCTTTTCTTTACATATATATATATATATGCAAATTGTTCAAACCTCTCCCTTGCTTCCATTACCTGAATCATACATGTATTTAGAATATGAAAACATGCCTTTATTTGAGAATATGTGTTGGAATTATTTGTAAAAGGACTAATTCACATAGTTTAAGTTTGGCCGGGACCCACCGCTGTGGATCGCGAGGGGTGCCTAACACCTTCCCCTCGAGGTTATTTCGAGCCCTTACCCTAATCTCTGGTAATGCAAACTGGTTCATGAGTTAACCGCTCTAGGTGCCCTAACGCACCATAATCCGTTAGGTGGCGACTCTTCAAATACCCAAATCCCAAAAGGAAAAGAGTCGATTCCCCATGAGTGTCGAAACCCGGACTTTCTCCGTGAGGAGGAAAAAAAGGGGGCGCGACAACGAAGACTCGAGTAGGTATATTGCGCACTGTCTAGTAAAATAGACATAACTCTTTGCTCTAAACTCCATTTGGGCTATACAATATATGGTTGGAAAGCTAACTCAAAAGGCTACAACTTTCATGTTTTACGCTTTTCCAAATTCTAAAATGAACATGGTGAAAACACGGTCGAAACTGCAACAGCGGACTTGGACGCGGACTGAGGCAGTGCACTGGGAAAATACCGCGCCTGGACCACGCCCGGACCGCGACCGCGAGCGTCCAGACCTAAAAAATTGTCCTTTTTCACATAGGAGAAGGTATAATTATTTGGGCCCGACCCTACTTGGTATATATCCATGGAAAAACGGTATTTTGAGGAGGTTGGACAGATTTTTGACACAGATTCGACCTAAGGAGGCAAAGACACAATAGGAGCAAGGCGGGAATTCTTCTACGAGTTTTTCCTTCCTCTTCTTATTTTTTCATTGTTGGTTATGACTTTTAGTATTGTAGTTTTACATACTATTATGAATAGCTAATTTGTTATCTAGGGTTTTGATGGAATCTTTTGTAGGATAAATTCTTGTTATGTTTTTATATAATTGAGCAGTTGGATTTCTCTACTTGTTCAACTACGTGTTTATTGTTGTTGATTGAATGGCCATCGATTGACTTTGCCTATTTATTATGTGTTGCTTGAGAAAAGATAGATATTTAGGTGGTTGTTGAACAACGTCACTCCTAACGTATGTGAGAAATCAATATAGTGGGTTTAAAGGCAGGTTTAGAAATAACAAAGCCTTGACGTGGTCATAATGAGCGGTTAGATAAAGCCAACTAGCATAGTTCGAGAGAATAAGTTTAGTAAATTATTGTAGTTGCTCGAGAGAGAATTACAGCACCTAAAGTTCTCACGATCAGTAGAGAATACATTGGCGAAATTGTAGGGAACGTAGCTAGAAGGATAAATTATAGGGAACATAGCTAGAAGGATTCCGACAATTGGAAAAATCATAACTCTAGACCTCCTTAATTTAGTCTACAACCCTTTGTCTCGTTAGTTGATAATTTTACCGTTTTGTAGTATTTGCTAGTTAATTAGTTAGAAATATAAATCTCAATCTTTATAATTTAGAAAATTATTCAAACTTGTCTTCTTAGTGATATTAAACAGATATAGCTAAGCCTTAGTTCTCTGTGGGATTCGACTCCGGACTTATAGACCGGATTATATTTGCAGCGACCGCTTATCCTTTTTAGGACTAGAGTTGGGCGTGATCAATTACACACTCAAGTAAATTAGTTATAATATTAATTCTGCATTTAGTGTAGAATCGAAAGGTCACTACGTTTCCATTCATCATCTATATCTATATATTTTAATTAATATTAAAGCCACTTCTTAGTGTGTATTTTATCTCAAGTCTCAATCCATTACAAAAAAGAATACAATAAACAATGTATATAACTGGTGAGACAAATAATATAATTTAAATTTTATTAAGATAAAAAAAACATAATAACAATCTACATGTTTGCTAGGACATACATGCACCAATCGAACACTAACTCTTGCACATATACACTAAAAGGTGCACTAGGCCAAATATCATGATAAATCTCAGTTAAAATTTCATCCCAAGGCTCTCGAAGAGAGTCTGCTAAAATAGCTAATGCTTCCCAATCAGTAGTTTCTATGTAATTAGCCAATTCAGCTCTTTTTAACCTAAAAAGTTGTTCATGTTCAGGAATGGAAGTATCAGACCCCATTTTAAATTCCTTAAACTCCCTAAATTTCTTTTCTCCTTCCCTTCGTTCAGCCCTTCGATCCTTTAACTCATTTTGCCTTGCCCTTGGGACATTCCTGATGACTTCAGGCTACGAGTCTGAATCATTATAGAAATAAGTCCTGCGACGACGTATCCTTCTACGTTGTCCCCTTCCTTGACTTCGAGAACTCCTACTTGGAGTAATTCGGACTTGTCCCTGTTCAGCCATATCTGAAATAGGACCAAGGAAACAATAAGAATGGCTACAACCATTCAATGTGATAGCATATATTATAATTACTTGTAGAAGGATATTAATTGAAGGATTAAGACTAAACTTATTTTAATATTAAGATATGGTAAATTGTATACAGACCAAAAAAGAAATGGTCTGAACATATAAAACTTTTCTGATAACATATTATTCAATGTTTCCTAATTAAACAAAGCGCATACAAGAGTATATCATTATTTCAATGTAATTTACATACCATTATGTACATTCTGTAATTAACTGATGTAGTTACATAAACTATACTCATACCATGTGGTTCATGGAATCAATGGTAAACAGAATACTCATTTTAATTATGGATACTCATAAACCATTATGGATACTCATAAACCATTCTAATACTCAAACCATTATGACTTCAAAGGGATATTACTGCAAAGGGAATTATTTTGAAACAAGCAGAAACTTTTTGACTTCAAAGGGATATACTGCAGCGCTTTGCCAACACGCAAAGGAGCCACAGCTACGACGGCACAGGATAAAGACACCTTGAAATAAATTCTTAAACCTAGAAATTATATGCGGCAGAACAAACAGATGTTACATCATAGTAAATTAGCAATTTCACTTGAATGAATTTGAAATTTCTCTTTTATATTTTTTGTCAAGCCAATTATAGACGATTCATATCACTGTATTCGAGGATATTTGGCTTCAAAGAATCCCTTCTTGGTCAAAAGTTACAATTTGGCCTCTTTATACGTTACTTTTTCAAAAGAAATTAATTATATATTAGAGATCAAAGAAGCCAAATAACTTATCACAAAACAATTCACTGATTACGAGAAGTTTAGATCAAAATTGAAACTGGCCGTTGGCAACAATTAGGAGCAAACAATCTGGCTCTAATGCCATTGATGATTTAAAAATGAGTAACAGGGACATCAAATTTGTGTACCTGTTAACAACAGCGGAAGATTTTTTGCAGAATTTGTTCCAATCAATTGCCCGAATCCGATTTCGTCTCTCTTGAAAATGAAATTCTTGTTCACGAACTAAATACCTTCTTCTTTACTTTTAGTATGTTTCTATCTCTGTAGGGAGGATTTCTCGGAGTGCCTGTTTGTGAAGAAGGGGAGCGTCGATTATATAGAGAAGGGAAGTTGTCAGAGAAAAAAAAACTACCGAGAAACTGACCCACGTTGATCCTCATGCTCCCACTTACTTCTCAACGTGTGGTAGTATTATTTTAGGAGTTAAACCCTTCTTAGGTAACTTCCCTTAATCGGGAGAAATTAAAAAATAGCCAGATTTACTACTGGTCTTTGAAAAATAGCCAAGTTTCAAAAGTCATCGAAATTTAGCCACTTTAAATCTGAGCGAAAACGCTGTTCAAAATCCGGAAAAATACGCCCGCAAATTTTACGGGAGTTCCAGGATAACTATGCTGGAACTCCCGCAAATTTTACGGGAGTTCCAGCAAGTATAATTGTCCAGTATAATATACTGGAGTTTGGAGCACTGGTGCTCCAGTCTCCCGCAAATTTTACAGGAGTTAACAAAGTATACCGGTCCAGCATAATATGCTGGAGTTCGTACACAAATGCACCAGAACTCCCGTATATTATACTGGACCGGTCCCTGTTGCAGCAAAATAGTGGCTATTTTTCATTGACTTGATAAACGCTGGCTATTTTTCATTGACCAGTGTGAAAACTGGCTATACCATGATATTTTACCCCCTTAATCATATCTCCTTTAAAAATAAGTCGGGTCAGTCCGTGTGGGCGATCCACGACCCAAATCCAATATCCAACAATTTTCACAATGGCAGTGCATAAATCTTAAAAACGGACCCGCGTTTCATCCATGCAGTGGTATGTAGCCACTTAGACGTCTCTTTAACAAGTTTTGGTTGTACGTAGTTTTTAATTGATCAAATGAAATTAAGATAAAAAGATTAAGTTAATCCAATTACGTTTTTTTCTTATAACGTACATTCAATTTGTTTTTTGCCTTTTTTTTTTTTTACCTTGCAGCCTTAATTAATTCTACAAGTGGGGTTTGGGTACGCAAACCTTACTTCTACCTTGTAAGGTTAAAGAGACTGTTTTCGATAAATCCTCGACAAAAAATATGTGGTAACTGGGATTCGAGCCTAAGTCTCCATAGCCACAATGCGGAATTTTCACCACTAAACTATTCAAATTGTAATTGATGGGTTTGCATGATTATTTTCTTCTACTCAAATTGTAATTGATCATATTTTTGTCGGAGGAATTGTTTGGTGTTTTTCCTGACTAAAGAAGTTAAATATTAACTGGTCATGTGTGGGAACAGTGGAAGATAAAGATGTTTTTTTAAAATTTTATTTGCTTGTTTCAGTTGTTTGTTTGTTTGGTATTAAATGACTGAAATACCCTCCATATTTTAATGACCTGAGAATGGTTCTGATATGAGGGAAATCTTGTAATCTTATCCTCTATACTCCAACTTGTTACACTGCCACCATATACTAACAGAAAAAACAGAGAAATTTAAGAGGAAAAATAAAAAGAAAGGAAAAAAAAAACAAAAGAAACAAAAAATGGCAACTGTGTGCCTCTCAAATCCTAAATCTCTTCTTCCTTCTCTTCAATCATCTTCTTTGTCCAATTTAACAGCCCAAAAAATCAGTGTTAAGAGACAATTAATTGTGTGCAAAGCAGAAAATAATGTACTTAATTTTAATCCTTTAATTATTAGCAAGAGAAGCCTCTCAATTAGCCTTGCATCAAGTTTGTTGATTTCTTTAGCTGGTAACGGCATTTTTAATGCCAATGCTGCAATTTTAGAAGCTGATGAAGATGATGAGTTGATGGAAAAGGTGAAAAAGGATAGAAAGAAAAGGCTTGAAAGACAAGGCATTATCAATTCCTCTACAAAGGAGAAAGGTAAAAAAAATAATTTTCTTGTTTCTTGATAATTTCTTCTTTTAGGTTTTTCCTTGAGCGGAGGGTCTGTCGGAAATAGTATTTCTATCTTCTCAAAGCAGGGTAAGGTCTACGTACACGCTACTTTTCTCAGGCTCCACTTGTGAGATTACACTCGTTTGTTGTTATTGTTTCTTGATATATTTCCCTAGTGAAATTAAGAAAAATTAAGTATACATTAAAAAGTTCTAGTGTGATAAATTTACTGAAGACCCTCTTATTGGATGGTTAAGTTTTGTTTATGGGACTAGTTTTTGGAGTTGTACAATATGCCTGTAAAAGTACAGGTTGGACTTAAAAATATTATAGAGAATACCAAAGTTACCCAATTAAGTGAATATTAGGTTCTTTCATTTCCCAAGTTTCCCCATTGCATTCCAGATTTGCAGGTGATAATATAGTGGGACCTCTCTATAACAACATTCTTATATAACAACACTTATATAACAACATTCTCTGTAAAAGTTAAATTTTTCCGGAACCAAATCTCATGTTCTATTATAATATATGTTTTCTATAACATTATTTCGCTATAACGTCCAAAAATATCCGGAACAAACGAGGCTGTTATAAAGAGGTTTGACCGTTGTTGTTTTTTAAGCAGTAAGTTGTTAATGCAAGGGTTAGGTTGGTTTTGTTTAAAATATCGGTTGCAAAATGAGAAAGGCACGACAAACCCAGTGTTATAAGTCCAATGTTTGATAGAATACTATATTAAACCTTAAACATTGAGGGTAATAAGGTTTCCTATGTGGCATAGGAATGTAAAAATTCCTAAATTTAAATAAAGATTCATGTAGACGACTCAACTTATTTGGAAATTTGGCATAGGAGTGGTTGAGATTGACTTGACTTAAATGCTTTAAGTGTGAAGGCGGGATGAGTAATACACAACAACAACAACAACAACAACAACAACAACAAACCCAGTATAATCCCACAAGCGGGGTCTTGGGAGGATAATGAGACCTTATCCCTACTTGTGAAGGTAGAGAGGCTGTTTCCGATAGACCATTTGCTCAAGGAACAGTGACATGGAGTAATACTATGTAGTATGTGGAATAATTAGCAGACCATTCTTGTATTAGATATACATTTTCTTAATCCTAGTATCATGATACCAACATGACAAACCAAGTTTATTTAAGTCTTGATGCCAATAAGAGTATAAGACTTGAATCTTGATGAATGCCTGAAAACATGGTGTTTTTCTAACCAGGAAAATGGCCTAATAATCTTATCCACGTTCAATTAAAACTAGATTAAGGCATTGCTTAATCTGTTAATTACAGACTCCTGCATTCATGTTAAAAAGTTGTAGAGCATAGCTTTTTCTAGTTATAGATTGTTTAACTTCCATTTATTATATAAAATGGTGAAGGATACTTGCAAGATTTGGTATACAAGCTCAGTATAGTAGGTCAAGCAATAGAGAAGAATGATTTATCAGCTGCAAGTTCAGTTCTTGGCCAAAGCACTGATGCAGATTGGGTTCAGAAAGTTAATTCAGCATTCAACAAGGTCTTTTTAGTTGATCTTTCCCTTTCAAGCACATATTTTTTTTTCTTCATATTATCTAATTTACAGTTGATGTTCATGTGCACTGAATATCGTTTTTCTCGCGTTTTTACAGTTTAGTGGTAGCGATGAGGAGAAAACAGAGATTGATTCCTTCAACTCTTCGCTGTCTTCTCTAGTTTCATCAGGTAATGTTTTTCTTGAGAATCCGGTGATCATAAGATCAAGAAAGTGTTATTATTTAAAAAATTTAAAAGAATGGTGGTGTCCGAACTAGCTTGGGGCGCCTTGACTATTTCACTAGATACCTGTTATCTCTCCCCAGCATAGCTTAAGCAGATGGGAGAACTTATGTGGCATTTTTTTGTCACTGTCGGAATTTGAACTCTGGTCTCCCATGGTTTTCTCCCACTTTATTGACTGCTCGACCACACCCTCGGGTGCCATAAGATCAAGAGATATGCACTTTTGTCAATGAAAATTAACCATTTTTCTTGTTTATTATGTATTATGCAGTTACTAAGAATGACATTGAAGGAACAAAGACAGCTTTTTTGGCATCAGCAAGTGCATTTGAGAAATGGACAACATTAACAGGATTGATTGAAGAGCTAAAAGGGCTTTGAAGCAAAAGGAATTAGCGTTTCCCTCTTGTATCTGATACCTATTAATATGAGAATTGAGAGAATTTGGTCCATGCCAACATGTTTTCACCATTGACATTACTTTTACTGATTATGTATCCACAAAGTTATAATCTTTTTCAGTGTTTTTTCCCTCTGTAAAATGAAAAATATATGTATTTGAGTTTCAGTTGTAGCTTAATCTCTTAGCAAAATGACTAGACTATTGTTATCAGCTTTCTTTTTTCTTTTGGTTCTGCCAATTTGAAGGGGAGTCTTGGCGTAACTGGTAAAGTTGTTGTCATATGACCAAGGAGATCATGGGTTCGAGCCGTGGAAACAACCTCTTGCAAAAATGTAGGGTAAGGCTGCGTACAATAGACCCTTGCGGTCCGGCCATTTCCCGGACCCCGCACATAGCGGGAGCTTAGTGCACCGGGCTGCCGTAATCTGGATATTTTATTGCGTTTGAAAAGGGAACAAGCTATTGAAATTTCAGCATTGCAGCATAAAAAACTTGTCAATTAGCATCAAGCCAAGAACTGTATTAATCCTCAGATTGAGCTGAGAAAAATTATACAACCTTGAACAAAGACAACCTGAGCTAAGGTAGTTGATTGATAGATATATTAATGAAAGGTAGGAACACAATCATTCCACAACAAACTGCAGCAACTTGCATTAGCCAACTCCCTCGTTAGTCAAGATAACACAAAGTCTTTATATAAGCTTATATCACTGAGTTTCATACAATAAGCTATGCCGATCTTGACCACTACAAATTACCTCAGCACAATTAGTGTCTCTGCTGAAGGTTTAATCTTTGACATAGATTAGTAATGGTACAAATATCTCTGCAGGCGATAAATCCTACCAGAGCAATATTTAGGACCTAAATCTAAGGTTTTGCATACAGACGTCTCGTGAACAATTAGAGTATCTATAATTGACGACAACACAGTCATCGAAAAGAAGCAAGAAGAGTAAAAGGTTAGACAGAGAGAGAGCAGAGAAGTGTCACGAAGCTACTAAAACCGCAGCTCAAGGCTTGGCCTCATTAGTGTTGCTGCCATTCTCAGTTACTTCACCCTCCACCTTACTTATTTCACTGTTCATCAAATTATGTTGATCTTCAGTGCTCTTTGTTGCAGCACTAGTTTTTTGCTCATCTTTCTGTTCTCCTTTAGCTTGATGCTTCTTTTCCTCAGCAGCGATAGAATCTGATGTCACTGTTTCAGTAGGCATGTTTTCTACTTTTTCTTGAACCTGTACATCCTTTTCCTCCTCATTCATTTTAGCAGCTTCAGGACCACCAGCTACTTTATCACCAGCAGCCTCTTCAACATCTTTTGGATGTCCAACGTTATCAGCCATCTCGACATCTTTCTCAACCTGAGCTTCTTCAGAAGGAGCATCTTCCACTTTGCCATCGGCATTTTGGCTTTCGTCTTTCATTCCATCATTCTCAGAAGATTTGATTTCATCTTTCTTTGATACATCCTTCTCAGTAGCTTCAGCTTCCTCTTTCTTCTCTACTTCGCTCTCTCCATCTTGAGTTTCATCTTGGTTCTCGTTTTGTTTTTGTTCAACATCCTTCTCAGCTTCCACTGCTGCAGTATCCTTCTCATATTCTTCAGCTTCTTCCATGTCATCCTCCTTTGCTGCTTCTGTTTCTTCAGGGACTTCATTGGAATCCTTCTTTGAAGCAGAAGACTTTCTGCCTCGTTTCTTAGCAGGCTCACTGTCTGCCGGAGATGGGGATGCTTTTGCCTTTTCACTAATCCTTGAGGATCTTCTTGGAGTATCACCAGTTCCCCAATCAAACTCTGCTACTGGTGGACCACCGGGATGCGACTTCAGGTACTGTTCCAACTGCTTTTTTGTGGTGATCTCCTCCCCTGTTGGTGCAGTAAATACAATTTCATTCTTCTTTGGAGTACCTCCTGTTTTAGGCAGAAACTGCAAAGGAACAGAAAGAGTCAATTTTAAAAAGAAAGAGTCAGTGGTCCACAGTACGGAACTCGGTAGATAATGGACCTATCCCTCTACCCTTCTCCACTTAATTGCTAGGCTTTTGTTCTGCGGCAGGGTTCGAATCTGTGACATGCGCCTAACCCACATATCACGTTCTGCGCTCTCACCACTAGACCAAAGTCCTGGGGGCAACAAAAGATTGAAAGCTACTTACAACAACAACAACAACCCAGTGGGATCCCACACGTGGGGTCTGGGGAGGGTAGTGTGTACGCAGATCTTATCCCTACCCTTGGGAGGTAGAGAGGCTGTTTCCGATAGACCCTTGCTCGGGAAAGATTAAAAGCTACTAGATAGATGGAAAAGGAAATAAAAGAGGGCTCAACGGAGTTGTAAGTAGTTAAGGAGTCTTTCCGAAACACAACCCCCACTATATAAAGATGATGCAACAAAGACACAAATCTGCTGCTTAACTAATATCCATGAAGATACAAATACATTAGCACACAGTTTGTACACTTCCAACAGCAATTTCGGTAGAAAATCAAAATCTGAGCTAAAGGGCTTCCTATGAAGTTTCTCCTCTTAATCAAATGAGATTCTGTAGAGTTTCAAATTGCATAAATTTATCTTTTTCTCTGAAAATGAATCCTATGGATTCTCCCTCACGATGAAGATATGAGGGATTCTGCATTTAAATTGGGAGATCAAACAAGTCATCTTTAGCACACAGCTGGAAACCATGATCGCCTGTTTCAAATTCTTATTTTGTAGTACAGAAGAATTTACTATAAAGGAAACAAACTCATCCTAGGATTGCATAACGGATAGTTCATGTTAGAATCTCGTAGATATCCTAGAATAATCTAGGATCTTGTAAATAGAGTATAGCTTGATTGTATTTTGATTGTGATTGATTTTGTTTCCTTTCTTATCAAAGAGTAACATATTCCATCATCATGAAAAAACAAAATAGAATTAACCTAAATAGCCGCTCAGAAGGGGAGTCTTGGTGTAACTGATAAAGTTGCCTCCATGTGACCACGAGGTCACGGGTTCGAGCCGTGGAAACAGCCTCTTGCAGAAATGCAGGGTAATGCTGCGTACGTAGACCCTTGTGGTCCGGTCCTTCCCCAGACCCCGCGCATAGCGGGAGCTTAGTGCACCGGGCTGCCCTTTCTAAATAGCCGCTTATCCAACCACTTAAACTAAAATTAGCTGGCGGATGTAAAATATATGTAATAATCCATGTAAAATATGTGTATAACCAAGTAAAATAAGTGTATAATCTATGTATAAAATGAACCGTGAATCCAGCCAGCTATTTTTGTAAAGATCTCAAAAACAAAGAAGTCTTTGCTGCATAATATCTTATTCTAGCAACATAGTAGTTCAAAATCAGTACCTCCATGATGGATAAGGCTTATATTTGAAACTTAGTCAAAATTCCCATTTTTGTGTTGCCAATCCTATGCCCGGTTTCCTCTCATCTTTCCTCCTTCTAAGGTTTCTCAAAAAATTGGCAAAAACGCACCCAAGCCAATCTTACTTAACCGTAAACCTGCAGTTTTCACCTTTTTATCCTTGTTTTAGAGCTTAAAATATTTCCAAGCTAATTAGCATTGGTTTAAGACGGTTTCAGGAGAAACAAAAAGCATGTCCTGCAATAAATGGGAAAAACTATTGGGATGCAAGAAAGATTACCATGAGTCAGAAGAGATGAAACAATATTTTCCGAAGTTTTGAAGTCCTCTATTACATGACAAAAAAACTCAAGTGCATTTAATTTTCTCTTTCCACCCAAAGCTTCAAGACCATTATTTCACTGTTACTGCAAAACCAGTTCATTCCGATGAGAAAAACTACTTTTCTGGATCCATTGGACATAACTGCAGTACTGCAATAAACGGGACTGCCTAGTTCTCTCCTCTATAGCACCAAAGCATGACGCTTTACTTATACAACAACAACTAAGCCACAGCCCCAAAAAAAGTCTAGGCTCGGCTATATGAAGCTTCACTTATGATAAAACAAAACAATACGCAGAACCAAGTGCACACTACAAAAGAATATGAAGTTAAGAACAAGAAGAAATGCCTCGAACTCCAGCCTCAATTGCGTAAATCTAACTTATAGATGCAGGAAAACCACAATATCAAAGAACAACCAGATTCATATCAACACCGATTGACTGTTCTTGCAGAAAATCTACAAAAACAAGACTAAACATCCTCCTAAACGCTCAGAAACACCATCTCCTGAACTACTCTAACTCTTCAAAACCAAAAATTCAACCCCAGAACCAGAAAATTACATAATTGCAAATACGAGAGCTAAAGAAATGAACTTTACATGAAATTGCTAAAATGGGGAACTTCTCAAGCAAACATAGAGAGTTGAACATGGACTAATGTGAAGCCTGGGGAAAGCCATATCTTTTAAACTACCCTTACTCTTCCAAAACAAGAATTCAACATTTGAATCACATAACATAACCACACAAAATTAAACAATACCCACAAAACACATTTTAAAAGAAATTGCAAATACCAAACTAAAGAGTCGAACTTTACATGAAATCAATAAAAATTGGAACTTTTTTCAAGAAAACAGAGGCTGAAAATGAGCTAATCGAATATAAATCCTGAGCAAAACCCTATCTCCTAAATGACTCTTACTCATCAAAACAAAAAATTCAACCTCAGAACCACAAAAATAAGCAAAATTCAACCTCAGAACCACAAAAATAAGCAAAATTAAACAATACCCACAAAACCCATTGTAGCAAATTTGCACATAGCAAAGATAAAGAATCAAACTTTACATGAATTCAGTAAAAGTCAGAACTTTTTCAAGAAACTAGAGGCTGAACATAAGCTAACATAAGGCCTGAACAAAACCCTATCTCAGAACCACAAAAATAAACAAATTAAACAATATATATATAAAACCCATTGTAGCAAAATTTGCAAATACCAAAGCTAAAGTAACAAACTTTACATGAATTCAATAAAAATTGGAACTTTTTCAAGAAACTAGAGGCTGAACATAAGCTAACATAAAGCCTGAACAAAACCCTATCTCCTAAATAGACCTTACTCATTAAAACCAAAAATTCAATCTCAGAACCACAAAAATAAACAAATTAAAAAATATATATAAAACCCAATGTAGCAAATTTGCAAATACCAAAGCTAAAGTAATAAACTTTACATTTATTCAATAAAAATTGGAACTTTTTCAA